TCAGGCTAGTCTCATGGGAAATGTTTCACATCGAATATGATTTGTAAAATAGTGCATCTTCGATCGTTAAACAGAAATACGCTATTACGGGCATTATATGCCGTGTAGGTCCCATTATTTAACTCACTCCAAAAAACGAGTAATCTCTTTGATTTAAGGCAAAGAGTTCTGTGGATTAAGAGATATAAACGGGCGCCACCATCCAGTCGCCGTGGCACGACTATCTAACTTACGGTGTTGCGCCCTCTAGTGACAGTGGAGCTACTTATTTTATGTGGCCGCGGACGAGTACTGACTGTAAAACGACGAGATGGTGATAATACCGTTCATAGACTCTTGATTTACTAAAACGTCACTTCCGCCATATCACTCCGAGAGGAACGACTGTTTGTCTGAAAACTTCAACCTGTTATTAAAACCAAGTTTTCAATGCAAATCCAAGTAAATCAATAGATAACGGTAACTGTACTACTACTGATTACATAGCCACCGTGGAAGAATGCAGAAGTCACCGTGGCTACCCTACTTATTCAAGTACCACGTGATCAATCGGTTTCAAATTCTCAGAATCGACTCGTCTTTCCGATAGGGTCACCGTCACGTTGCTGGTGGACGGTCTAATTATTCCCATCAGCATCTCGACTTGCTCTCATTCCGCTGATATCTTCCGAATAAATATGCCAATGTAATGCATTCTTGAAATATGTTGTGGAATACTTACAACAGTGTGAGTTTTTTATTGGTTATGGGTTCGATAGTTTTGTTTTATTTTTCATTTGAGTTGCGAAGTGTTGGTGGTGATGGTCTTTCAATATATTTTCCGTGTTCAGACACCAGCTGTCATATAATTCGGCTCCAAACTGCGGACAAATCGGCAGGTGAAAAAATGACATGACACACGCATTTAATGTATAAATCAATTTTATTGGGTCCTTACTTATGAGTTCAACCCAGTAGTTTAAAGTTGCACTCTGGGATCGAATTTGTTTAAAATCTGATGCAGACTGAAGCTCCTGGGTTGGTCGCCTATCCTGATCGGACTAACGTACTCGTTGCCTTCCAACTTGAAGTTGATTTGTTCTAATGCGGATGGATTCACAAAGACCCACCCCTGTTTCGAAATAGCGCGACCTGAGGTAATTTCAAAGAGTGAAAAATCATTAAATCAAGCAAATTGTGCATATTTATACCATAAAAAATGTCAGTCCCAAGAACTCAATATAAGGAATGAATCCAGAGTGCAGCTTTAAGAAACCTTGTTGAATGCAAACTGAGAAACAGCAATCATTTGGCGACTCCTGGAACGAGCTAAAGTGGAGAATACATAGTTTAAATAACTCTGTCTTGTCCTATGGAAATAGTCGTGTTCTAAAGTTAAATGTCTCGGTCATCTTGAAAGATACAAGTTCATCACATCACTTACTTACTTTCGTACGTACATTCTGTGAACATTCTCTCTTTTCTCAACAGCTGAAACATTTCAGCATTTCCCCGGCCTCGCACATATATTATAATAAAATAGACTGAAGTATTTCAGTATGCATACGCCGTGAATAGAACACGTCTTTATGTGGTTACTCGGTCTGACTTACAGACTATTGAAGTGTTACGTGATATATTATGTATGTAAAAAAGGAAGTTAGTTTATAACGAAAATATCTTAGGGGGCAAAAAAGATGGCCGCCCTCTTCGACAGTATTTTTTACCTTAACAGCTTCGTTTATTGTATTTTGAATACTAATATCTGTATTTGTGTCCAATCATGTGTTGAAAAATTATATCTATATTTTCTTTAGTCTGACTCATGCAAATCATCGTCATTTTTATTTTTTCAAAGGTGTTGATTAATGCATGTGGCCAATGGAAAATTAAGTCCATATGGTGTAAAATCAGCAAAGAAATTATAAAAAATACGTGAATGTTGCAACAACATGACGGGAGATGAATGTCAAAGAATGAATGTATAAATACTATACTATACTGGGTTGTGAATTAAATATTCTAGTCTATTTTAGTGCGCGATATTTAAGTTGGTTAATATAAAACGCTGATTTTAATTATTTTACAAGTGTGAGGAATATTTAGTAATATGGATTTGGGAGTTCGGCTAATAGACTCTCTTGACTTAAAGCAGGCTTGTTGTAGATCGGTTATCGGCAATAAAGCGCCACCAACGTTAGATTCTCACAAATGTACAATCGAAATTTCCAAAAAGAGGTTTACTTATTTACACGTTTTTAAGCAAGAAGAAAGTTTTGAGAAAAAAATGTTATTGTAAAATGTAACTAGCAGAGTTCTACTTTTCGGATTTCGCCTTCATGTTGATTGGATCCTTTCTTGGTTGGACCATCGTAGAATGTGTCCGAGTTTAAGGCGAATCTATCCCTCCTCGAGTGCTTCTTCGTGGACAGCACGTGACTGAGTTTGCGAAGTTTAACGAGAAGCAGATTAAAAATGCACGACATGATCACCATACCAATGATAATGTACCAGATTAAAAGAGCGAAATCTGCGTGGCGGATAGCTTCCATATCCCTGGAGCTAATGTTTAGATTTAAATCTTGCGTGAATTCCAAGTTCTTCGCAAGATCTTTGGTGAGATCTGTGATAGTGGAAATCCCTCCGCTGGACCCGTCTCCGTAAGCGGGCACCATATCCCCAAAACCGATTGTTGTGAAGGTGCAAATGATGAAGTATATTGCGTCTACAAACTCCCAGCTATCCTGTGTGTAGTAAAAGATCCCTGCGCCAGCGAACAAGTAGATCGTGTAGACAACAATAAAGGGACTAATGGGAATATCGGCATTTTCGTTCTCATATTCATCGTCGGCGGCGCTATTATGATGTTTCTGTCCTTTACCTGACATATACTTCATGGTCATTCCAGGGCCTTTTTTAGACTTTCTTTTACAGCATGTACGATGGCATTTGCGAATAGCGTTCACCAAGATATCGCCAAGTTTGGCCAGGAAAATGAGAAACAGTGGAATTCCGAATATGGCGTAGAATATGCAGACGATTTTGCCAGTCTGAGTTACGGGAACCATAGTTCCGTAGCCTGGAAAAAGAGAAGAAAAAATATTATGATGTATTCATTGAATTGATAACAGAATTATCGCTCGTGCACGTGACATCGATATTACAAACTGATGTAACTGATATACGATACAATTCACGTAGGTGCACATGAAGATGTGTATCTTCTTCACTGTTGCTATGGCATCGCCTACTTAAAAAGAAGATCACATCAGATAAATATAACTCACAGTCACGTGACGAGCATCATTCATAAAACGGTTTTATTATTTCCACTTTTCAATACTTTTTTTCTGACATTAATTTGTGGCGATATATAAGTATTAGTCTATACGGAAGGTTGTGAAAATCGGATGTATATGTCTTCGAGGATGATTACGTCACTTTTTTCAGCGATAAGCCGCTTATGAAAAAATTAGCATCAAGAGCCAGATCAGTCTACGATATTCACTAATTTCAACTGTACCAGAGTTTACCAAAGCCTTATGCAGACTTTTTTATATGTGGCTTTATTTCTGCGATATCATTAAACGTATTTGAAAGTCTGTTTTCCGGTGTGTTTTATTCATTCATACTCAGTAGCCATTAAAGCGGGAGGATCGTCACCAAGCGACAATAACAACACACGCTAAAAACGCAAAGGCTCATGGGTAGACGCTTGCTTGTAAACAATGACACGCTATGGCATATGACGCATGCGCAGGTGACGACTCCCCGCTTTAAATAACCATAACTTGTTTCCAATACTATTCGAGGGGCAAAACAAGTCACGTGGCTCTCTCGCTCACAACGAGGCTTCGGCGGCCATTTGCGAGGAGATCTATTTCCTAATATTCTTCATGGGCTTCCCATAGCGTTACGAGGCGGTGCGAGGTATGATATGATAATATGTGGCAGACAATGCCTGGCGAGCAAGCGCAGCCGATTAGTTTATTGATTTACTAAAGATATAACTGACGTAATCATAGAACGTCGAAGCGCGTGAATTCGAGTTATTAGAGGGGAGGCAAGGGGGGTAGCTGGTACGGTTTTACGGGAAATAAAAAGTTTTTTTTTTTCAATTTACAAAGAAAAAAAGACCTTTTTACAGTTTACAGTGTTAAAAAATGGAACATTGAATGGTCCGAAGAGCTCTCCGACTCAAATTCTCCGACATTACTGCGCCGTGTGTAGAAACGCATGCGCATATTACCCTCGTAATGCTCTTCATTCGGTTAGAGTGCCTTTTACGTCTTGACATTCAATTTTGTAGTGAATTGTGTCATCTAGTCGTTTTACGGTTTCTAAAATGTAATTTCCCTGGATTATTCTTTACGATTTTTTTATTTGGATGTAAATTCTTGTACGTACCGAGAAAAATGACACATTTTTACAGTGTACGAACAAAATATTTGATTGATTACGTTGTACGTCTAGCCTGTGATTACAAAATTACGGAATGTATTTTTTCTATTTACGTTGTACGAACAAAAAAATATTGCAATTACGTTGAACGAAAATAACCCTTGCCCCCCCCCCTATTAGTTGACGCGCGATTTGAGTGGAATGAAGCCACACCCTTGACACGACTCCGTGTGTCACCGCTGAACAAAATGATCTGAAACACACTATTCAAAATTGAACTATTTCCAGCCCGTTGCCAGAAAACAATTGCCTTATCATTTAACAAAATTCTGATAATGTTTTATGATAAATGAATTGTTCCGTTACGCATAATTTGTGAAACAACAAACAAAACGGCGCTGCCCATTTAAACTCCTAGGGTAGAATTCTTCCATACACATGTTATCTATAGAGCTCGTTTCGCGAGCGGCTTTCGGCCTCTCTCGCTGCGCTCGCTATTAACATCGTACCTATGCGCGGAGTGGGTTAGTCAGTGCATGGGCGTACTAAATAGTACGTCCATGGTTAGTGGAATTATAGTGATTTCGAATATTTTCTAATATGTTATGTACATGTAGATCTTTGTTTGGTCAGGTGCCCTGTCTTAGCCCTCAGAGCTTAGTCATATAAACAGCGGTGCACCTACGTAAGCACATTACATTAGCTTTTCGATCGTCATGGTTTGAGGTGCGTTGCAGTCTAGATGTCTTAAATAAGAAAGATCAATATCATTATTTAGGAGAGGAATTCTGACATCGAACCAACTAACTATAAACTACTAGAAGCGTGGCGGCTTTCGCTGTACAACTAATGAGATCTAAGCGCTCGTGTAACGAAGCTAATCGCTAGTCAAACGTGCTGCGGATATGATAGAGGTATCCGTTTGTCAAATCCATCACGTACTATGCTTATGTACCACACTAAGCAGTGTTATACGGAGAACAGATTTAGCTGTTAGGTGTCCGTGTACAACTATCTAGGGAGTATGTGGGAGAACAAGATTTGGATTGATAAACAGTTGTCAACCTTGGATAATATTGATATTTTATTTAGACGCATAAAATCCTTTGGAAAGGATAAAAAAGGGTCTTACAGAAAGAAATTTAAAAACTATAATCTAAAAAGAAAAAAAAAACCTATTCTAAAAATATAAAACAAATCAAAAATAAATATGAATAAACAATAAAGACAATTTGCAACCAATGGTGAATACAGAATATAGAATGAACACAAAATGTAACCTAATACACTGATATGTGTATTGATTGGGAACATTGGCGCTTCGGGAAACTTTCCTTGAAGTGTCTTTGGAATCACATCGGTGTCAGTCAAGGTTTTTGTCTATCGCATTGTCGAGCTGTTCAACTTAACACTCAGGGTTACCGGAGCGAATGGACTGACGTATAAAAAAACATAAATGAATTTTGCAACCCAAACTTTTAATCCCGCGTTTTTTAAAGATTTTGTTCGAACGAGGACTTGAAATAAGATCGTTAGTCGGCCATTTTGCTTCAGACCATTACGAAGATGATGTACATACTGTCTTCACTACGTGATATATGTTTCAAACAAATCGGTAAAAAAGGTCACTGCAAAGTGTTTAGATGACAATTGTGTAGTGCGTACAACTGGCCGCTAGTCGGTAATTTTTCATGAATTAAAATGATGTAGATTGTGTATGTCTACCAGTAGTCAAAAATAGGAATCTAAAGTTCTGCTAATAAGGCTATGTTAGATATGGGCACAACAGCGAATTAGATGTTATTCGCACCATAAATGAAGGTGAACCTTCACTTATAGATATTCAAAATATGCAAACCTTTCTATTATAGTTAGTAATCGATTACGCTGTCCAAATCATGCGGAGACAATACCTGAACTCGCTGGTTACGCGTAACGCCCACGATATTCATTCCGCTACACTATATACAGTATATCATTTACGATAATGCCCATTAAACAAGCTCACTAAAAGTAACTGCAATAAAATTTAAGTGCTGCTTTTACTGGAAAATACTTAGGGTGCAGCAATAAGTAATAAAGATGTCAGTGAAGCGTGGCTAGCGGTCTGTATCCGCTGTCCCATATCCTTTAGTATAATCTGAGTAGCCCCAAGTGGTCGTATCGCTTACGTACATGCAGAGAAACTGGCGTTAACGTCTCTCCGGGCTTCACGACTTCATCAGTTCTGATATGCCGATTAAGAATTTGTTTCCAGCAATGCCGCAGATGTGGGAGATCCACTTAAAATACCATCGTGTCAGTCGCACTCTTGATGTAAAATCTTGGATGCAACTCAATATTTTCGAAATTGCAAATATTAGGGTTCAAGGATAAATCACTGTCGTTTCTCGATAGTTATATATAAGACAACATTTCCCTCTAATGATCCTCTTATGTTGAGACAAATATAACGTATTTAACGAGCTCATCGCGATAGGCAATGCCTTAAAACAAATCGTTGTGCAATACGGCAGATGTTGCGTCTACGGCTGTTCGCCATACTCTGCATACTGCTGCAGCTTGTCAATCAGAATCGAACCGTATACTCGAGTTTCTTAATAACAATTAAATCACTATAATCCTCCAATTTACTGCACAGCTGAAAAAAACTAATCAAATAACGGGTCACATAACAACTGGATTTAACTACTTGATCATGATACATATTTTAAATCTAGTGAGTGCATGAGTGGCGTTTTAATGGCAACCTTTGGTTTAGATATTGCTAACACGGTCATTGGCAATGAACATTTAGATAATTGGTACGTACAAATAGATTACGTAGATTGTATACAATGCATGTACATGTACATAAGGCATGTAATTAAAAATACAAGGCGTGTACATGTACATATAAATTTATAATACGTTGTTTTTTTTAAATAACATTAAACAACTTATTTGGCCCGGGGCGTTGAAGCCAGCAATAAACAGAGTTTGTTAGGCTACCCATTTCTTAATTAGCACTTAATCCAAGCAGACATGTACTGTGCTTAAATGAAGATAATACCTACTGACACTCTGCCAAAGGTTAAATAACATAAGACGGCTCGACACGTCATTTGTGGATTAATACTAATGTTACGTTTTTTTTATTATCCACAATCAACTAATAGACTTCTGAAAATTGTCACCTGTGAAAGAATATTCGTTTGGTGTTATTCAATGCAGATAAAATTTACGTACTCGTACGTGCTGCTTTCTTTTATGGATGGCGAGCCTGTGTTTGTTTGTTTGTTTGTTTACAAGAATTACAAACGCGCGCTACGTGACGATTGTGGCTTTATTTTAAGAAGTGCGTTTCTAGTGTTTTTAAAAATTCTTTAAATAACAGTATTTTGCATAGTTATGCACTACACGATATGTGCTGCATCACTTGTTGTTTAGTCCCAGGTGAGATCATAATTATTTGATGGGGGAAAGTTCTGATAAGCCCGAACTCACTGGCCATCCACTATATGATAACGGCAATTGTTAATATGCTAACTGCTTACAAATTGTCTTCCGAACGTAAATGCATGAGAAGGCAAAGATACGCTAGTGTTGAAATGCGAACATACTATACTATTCCGCGTGGCGCTTTACAGCGGACGCCAGAATAAACTGGTCATGAAAATCACTACTATCTCATTATCA